GGGCGACGGGAGGCCGGGCTGCCCGGGGGGGGAGGCGCCCCGGGTGCTCCGTGCTCACCGGCACCGCCTGGCTCTGCGCGTCCTTCGGAGCAAGCCGCGGGCCCTTGGGCTCCCCACGCCCTCCTGAAGGATGCGGGCGGTTTCTCCTCGTCGTGGGGTGACCCGCTCTGCTTTCGCAGGGTGCCCTCCGGAACCACAGCTTGTCCTCGGCCGGGAAGCTCCTGTGTGTGTTTTGCAGGGGGGGTCTCGCCCCCGGAGGGGCTGGGGGTCCTGTTACCAAGCTCGAGCTGCCAAATCTAAATTTAAGGCTGGATGCTCATGCAGCGTGGGTTGGGAAGTGGGGGTGCATGGGGGGCATTCCTCAGTGCGGGCTGTCGGCCGGGGGTGATCTCAGCTGGCATTTCTGCTTAAGGCTGTGTTTTGTTGTTAAAATAAAGTTGAGAAATCCTGTAAATCAATAGCTAGCATTTCATTTATTCTTCTTTTAAATAGGGATTTCAGCTCCAGTGGTCTACTTTGTGGATTATGTCACCAACTCCATATACCTTGAAGATATTGTAGGCTCAGTTACGGTTCAAGATCATATTAATTCTGTACAACGGAGTGGAAATGATACCAGTAGCCTCCTTATCTTAGCAGAGAAGATGGGTGAGCTGTTAGCAAGAATGCACGATGAAGATATTATACATGGGGATCTCACAACTTCCAATATACTTCTGCGGCCACCCACGGAGAAGCTGGACCTGGTGCTGATAGACTTTGGACTCAGTTTTATTTCAGGTCTTCCAGAAGACAAAGGAGTAGATTTGTATGTTCTAGAAAAAGCCTTCCTCAGTACTCATCCGGATACTGAAACTATGTTTAAAGCTCTGCTAAAGACCTACGCGGCTACATCGAAAAAATCTGGACCTGTCATCAAAAGGCTGGATGAAGTACGACTCAGGGGCAGGAAGAGATCCATGATTGGGTAGAAGACAGCAGGCTTAGGGATGGAGAAATATTACTACTTGGGTTCTGCAAATATGGTTATTTATACTTCCAGTTGGTTTTATTTTACAGATCACTATTTTGATAACTGTGTCTTCTTCAAATAAATAAATTTGAATGAGTTTGTGTCATAAAGTAACCAAGGTAATTGTGAGATGGGAGCACAGACAAGAGAGGAACAACTGAAGGTCACTTCTTTCCTAAATGTTAAATATTTCTTCTAAAAAGTAGTTTACAGTGTCATTCCCCTCGCCGTCTTCTTCCAGTGGTTTGAACCATACCGAGAAACCTTCCTCAGCCTATGGACCATGGATTCGTGGGAGGTGAGAGGGACCTGGGGATACCAGAGCAGCTACGAAAGGTAATTTAAAAAAACAAGTGTGCTGTTTTTCTCAGAAGACTTTACAACAGAGTGTTTAAATCCGTTATAAATGGCTCTACACATCCTGGAAATACGTAGGAGGACTGAATTCCAGGACACGGTAATGCTGAAATGGGGCGCTGATCTAAGACAGGTTCGTTTTCTTCCAGTAGAAATTTGGCTTTTTCTGACTTTCAGTTGATAGTATTTCCTGAAGCAAATACAGAAATTGTTGATCAAGAACCATTTTCTGATGAGAAACTTCCACTTCAAGAAGTCTGCAGTAAATTTCCATTTTTTTTTGAGCTTCATGGCAGGGACTGCTTGTGTTGTGGTGGCCCACTGAGGTGGGCGATTGGCAGTACTGCCTACAGTAATACTTTTTAGTAACTTTTTCTCTGCGTTAATTGGTTTTCTGGATTACCAGGGAGCAGATGGGTTCGGAGATGATCAGTCCCCTGCGTTGTGAGGCGAAGGGGCTGCCGGCTGTGTGCTGGGGGAGTGTCGGCTCTGCCGCTGACTCCAGATTACGACTGCTAAGAAGCCGTGATCTTGCCGCGGAAGGCAGCCCCTGCCAGGGCAGATCCCCTGCTCCCCGGTGCTGACTCTGCTGCTCTGGCTGGAAGCGCTTGCGCGGGAGAGGGGGCAAAATCCTGCAGGACCCC